TTCAAAGTCACACTTTTAAGATAACTGGCTAGTATTCTTCAAAACTGTCCAGGTCATGGAAGACAAGGAAAACATGAAGAACCATCACAGATTAGAGGAGTCTAAAGAGATGAAGACCGACCCCGACTGAGTGCATTGTGGGATTCTGAATTGGATCCTAGATCAGGAAAAAAAAAAGAAAAAGACATCAATAGTAAAACTGGTGGCATTCTAACAAAGTCTGTAGCTTTTTTTTTTTTTAAATAGTTTTGGATCCAAGTTAACTTCTTCTGTTCCTTGTCCTTTTATGAAAGATGCTAACATTTGGGGAATGTACAGAATAATTCTCTGTACTATCTTGGCAACTTTTCTGGAAATCTAAAATTATTTCCAAAATTCTGTATACTCCTGTTATTTCACCTGAATAGACCACTTCTGGAGAGAAAAGCAAATCACCTACATCCATAGTAAAAACAAAGCATTGGTCCATGCCAAAATCAGATTTCCAAAATGTACAGTCTATTGTGCATTTTGCAGCTAGTGGAGGTGCTAGGAATGGGGAGTGAATGGTAAAGAGGTCTCTTTGAGGGTACTTTGCTTATTTGCATGTAATTCATCTGCATGAAACTGAAATAACAGTGACTTAACGAGACAGAAACTGCTCCAGGTGAACACAGTAGTTCTACATTCTTAGGGGCCTGGACTCCTCTTTGAGCATCAACTTGCGTTCCAAATGGCTTCTGAAGCACCAGGCATTAAGTGAGCACTGCAGGCTTAGGAAGGGGGAAAGGAACAGAAATCTGTGCCTCATCCCCCTTTAAGATTTCCTCACAAAATTCCTCATATCTCCCTGACCAAAACTTAAACATATCACCATACCTAGCTGCAAAAGGGGCTGGTGGTGTAGTCTAGATGAGTACACGGACCCTCCAATATATTTAGGGGTCTGTTACTAAGGAAGGTAACCTTAGTAACAGGATCCTCTTTTGTGCTCCTCCAGGCCCCTCATTTCTTCTTTCATCCCAAAGTCTTTTTCTGGGGAGACTCAACCAGCCCTTCTTTCTTTCCAGAAGCACCTCAGTCCTGGGTTTGGACTATGACCCAGTTAGTGACCTCAGTATCAAGTTTCTCTGTTACTATGCAGGACCCCAGACCCTCCTACCACCTCCCCCAACAGGCATGTCCCACAAGAACAGGAATTTCTCTTTCAGAGATTGGTTTTGATCCAAATAGGTGCATTTTCTTCCTGCCAGGCTCCACATGCCATAGCTCCATCCATCACATCCCTAGTAGAAAAGAAAAGGTATCATCCCAGGAGCATCTTGAGCCATCCATGGTGCTCACATATCTTTAAAAATAAAGGAAATGTTGGCGATCTTTCATCATGTCAATAATTAAGAGCTCTGGAGAAGATATACAGGCGATCGACGAGTGTGTGAAAAAAAAGCGTTCAACATCTTTAGTAAATCAGAGAAATGCAAATCAAAACTACTCTAAGATTTCATCTCACCCCAGTCAGAACGGCAGTTATCAAAAATACAAGCAATAATAAGTGTTGGTGAGGGCGTGGGGGGAAAGGCACACTCATACATTGCTGGTGGGACTGCAAATTGGTGCAACCACTTTGGAAAGCAGGATGGAGATTCCTCAGAAAACTTGGAATGGAACCACCACTTGACCCCGTTATCCCACTCCTCAGTTTATACCCAAAGGAGTTAAAAACAGCCTACTACAGTGACACAGCCTCATCAGTGTTTATACAGCTCAATTCACAATAGCTAAACTGTGGAACCAACCTAGATGCCCATGAATAGATGAATGGATAAAGAAACTGTGGTATATAATATACACAATGGAAGATTACTCAGTTGTAAAAGAGAATAAAGTTATGGCATTTGCAAGTAAATGGATGGATTTGGAGAATATTACGCTAAATGAAGTAAGCGAGTCCCAAAAAACTAAAAGCTGAATATTTTCTCTGATTAGTGGATGCTGATATATGGGAGGGCAGTGATGGGAAGAATGGAGGAACTTTGGAAAGGGCAAAGGGGAGGGTGGGAAGGGCTATAAGGGTAGGAAAAGTGGTGGAATGAGATGGATGTCATTACACTAGGTACATGTATGATTGCATGAATGGTGCATCTCCACACCCTGTACAGAGAATTGAAACGTTGTACTCCATTTGTGCACAATGAATCGAAATGCATTCTTCTCTCATGTACAAGTAGAATAAATAAATAAATAATCTCTGGGATTATCACACTTTTTTATTGGGAGGAAGTAGAACATTGAAGAAAACTCTGAAACCTGCCATAGGTCAATCTAAGTTAGTTTTGATGAACCTCTGAGGGTAGTTTCAACTTTAAATAAACAGTATCTCTTTCCCTGAAAACCCTGAAACATGTTTTAAATGACGAAAAACAGAGGCCTGATATTCTTCTATCCAGATCAAAAAGGAAAAGGAATAGACCATGTTGTTGGAAGGCCAGCAGTTCCTTGGGGAGAGAGCCAATGTCGCCATCCAGGACTGCAGCCTTTGTGAAACCCTCTGGGCTTGCCCATCCTGACCTGCTCAGCTTGTGTTTCACTGACCTGGCTCAGTTGTGCCTTTATCCTTCCTCTCCCCAAAACTATACAATGATCCTCCCAGCTGGGAAAAAGAAAGGATAGGGGAATTGAAATATGAGCAAGAGATTTAGACCCTGGTAAGATCTATAAGACGCAGTAAAAGTGGAGGAAAATGATAAATCCCACATAGCTTTAGCAATCCAGGGGCAGAGGCACTTTGATCAACACCAAAAGAGTGACCAAGATTCTCAAAACCTGTCTCCTTTCCAAGGCAAAGCCTAGAATTTTTGTAAGACGCGTGTAAGAGGAGAGGTCCTGAGACAGAGGTCCTGAGACAGTGCATGTGATACCCAAGCACACCAAGGTCCTGGAGGAATGTCTTCCTAGATTGAGAGAGGGCCTCGGACCAAGGCTCATGTAGGGTGGGTGGGTAGAGAAGGGAATATTCCCTCCTGGAACAAAATTCAGCTGTTTTTCCTCTGACTTTATTTTACTGTAGTAAAATCTAGTCTATTTTCATTCAAACATCAGAACCTGTGTCTTCCACTTTTCCTTTGAAATGCTCTTGACCCTTGCATTGGTAGCTGTGTTGAGTGGATGAAGCCATTACAATCTAGAAAATCCTGTGTGTGTGTGTGTGTGTGTGTGTGTGTGTGTGTGTGTGTGTGTGTGTGTTTGGACGGATTTGACTTAGGAATCATCCGCTGACTATCCAGTGGGTCTGCCTGTAGAGAAACATCTCCTCAAGGATACATTTGTTTCATGACAACTTTCCTATAATACTCAGGCTGAGTTTAGAGTTCCAACAGAAGAAAGATGTCCATCATGTTAGAACACTGAATTGATAAGCTTTAGAGCTAGGAAAGACCAGTTTCCAGAGGCAGGAAAAAAAAAGGCTCAGAGAGCTAAGGGCCTTCCTAAAGGACACTCTTCCTATTGGGTACCAGAGGTGTCCACGCTTTGCTGGAGCCCTGTTGATTATCCCCTTATGCCACACTATTTTCAGTCTTTTCACTTGCCTAGTGTGAAATTAGTTAGACATTCATCAATATTTTCTTGAAGGACAAAGGAAGTTAGGCACGGCCTTGTGATTTCTTTTGGCCAGTGAAATGTGTGAGCAGAAGGAAAGTGTTTCACTTCCACTTTAAGAACCAGTATGTAATTCACTAAGTTCCCTTTCTGCTGCCATGGCAACAGGCAACATATTAGATAATAGAAGTTCCACCAGCTGAGGACAATGAGGAGCAGAGAGGGAGAATGTGGAGCAGAGCCCTAGATGACTCATAAAGGACGTGTCATGAGGGAAAAATCAACCTTCAAAGCTTTAAGCCACTGGGATTTGGGGGTTGTTTGTTACTGCGACATCACCTAGCCTATCCCTATCAGGTAAGCCTGATGTACATCATTATTCCCATAATGCATCTCTGTGCTGAAGGCTTAGGAGGGCCCCACAATGCAGAAAATCAGAATACAACTCCATAATACATTCTAAATTCCATGGATCGCCAGCATTCTTTCTTTCTCTTGGCTTATATTAGGAGGGGGGGATGTGGTTCATTATAAAGAATGAGTATTTTGATAGCTTCTCATTCTTGGAACTATTCTGCAGGTAAGTGCCGGGTGGAAATTTCCTGTAGTTCTAGAGTTTAAAATAGTGAATCGATTATTTTAATAAGTTTAGTGTATTATGACCTCAAATGCATCACCCTGTACTTACACATACATGTGCAAACATCTTTGGTTTCATTGGAGGCTTTTTATCTAGATAATTCTCAACACTTTACAAAGTTTCCTGACTTTATAAGCACCAGCATTATGGCAAGTCGGTGCTTCAAAAGCCTCCCATCATCCAACATTTCAGATTAACAATTATAAAATAAATGGGAGATCTTTGCGGAGTAGTAGGAGAGACTGTGTGACCTTGAGTAAATCACTTAGCCTTTCTGGGCCTTAGCTTCCACCTCTGTAAATTAAGGAGAGTAAAAGTACTTGTTTCCAGAATTCTTTTGAGAATGAAGCTGGGTCACGCACATCCTGTGTGTTTGATGTCAACTCTATCCGAGCCTTAGAATACTTAGAGATCTAGAAAACAAGTTACATACTGTGTTTCTGCTTCTCAAGAAGGGTGAATTCGGAAACTATTTAGTCCACCAAGTAGTGATAATTCTGGGAAAGATATTTTTTTTAAAAAAATGGTCCTGTCTCCCTGGTGAAGGTTTTAACACACTTTTAAAAACACAAACAGATGGATAGGAAAGTAAGTACTGCTAACTGGTTAGGAAAATTTTTCCAAACCCCCTGCTGAGGGCATAGATCCAGCAGAGAAAACTGTTAAAGGGTTAGACTCATTTATATTTTTTCCATCTTAAACACTTGGACTTTTCCAGGTTTAAAACAAAGCTCAGAAAATGCTAAAGCTTAATGGAGAATTGAGCACTGCCAAGGAGCTGAAAGATCAGGTAAGGCTCCTAACTCGGCCGCACACATGGAGTTGAAACTGGCTTAGGAGGGACTTCCTTTCTTTCCAAGTCTCATGGCTCAAATTCCAGGGATAAGCATCCCAAAATATCACAGATAGAAGTAGCAGCGGAACGTAGAGTTCAAGAGCTCAGAAACTTGAGCTAGGTGGATCTGGGTCCGCATCTCTTAGCAGCATGACATTGAATGGGACTTTCTCTGAGCTTTCTTGGCTTCACCCAGAAAATATCAGTGACACAGGCTTGCTAGCAGGGTCATGAGATACGACGGGGAAAACAACACTTAATAAATGTTTCTTACGGTTGCCAACGTATTTTTTTATCTGAAATGAGATGGAAACGGAGTCCTCTGATTTGTCTAACATTTTGATCAAACTGTACATGTATTTCCTGACTTTTTCCAGAAAGGATGGAAGGGGCCTGTTTTAGTTAGTAGAGCGGTATCCCAGATGACCTATGCTTTTTAACAATCCTCCTACTAAGAGGTGAGCAACTTCTAAAACAGGCATTTCTGCCCCTTGCCTCCTGGATTAGGAGCCTTAAGGGATTTGCTGCCCGTTTTGCAGGAAACTGCGATCTGGTATGGATTCTCTAGAAGTCCATTCCTTCATTTCATTTAATTTGTTGCAAAATTCTTGTTCACAGGCAAAACCTTGCGTGAGTATCTATTAATCTCCATCATATGTAACGTGAAATCTGCAATGTTTCTATCAATGTGAATGTAACTTGGAAATCGAGTGATATCAAAATTAGTGTTGGAAACTGCTGTAGATAACTATAAACTCTATCACGACAGGTACGGATTCCTGAAGCACATTTAGTTTTCAAGCTTTCCTGTTCAGTAAAGCATGGCCATCACTATGAATTGGAATCTGCTGAATAGTTGTGGTATTAGTGATAAGTTTTTTAAAAAAAAATGGCTTCCCATTGTTTATTGAAGTTTTGCCCTTATCTCAAATAATTTCTCAAAGACGATAGCATTGATGGTGTTGTTGGTTGACTCTAAAATTACCCTAAAAACTGCCGCCCATGTTGCACCAAGCTATCTTGTTCAAGTGCCAAACCCCTGGGAATGCTGCCATTTTGAATCTACAGAGTGCTTTTGAGCTCTAAAATTGATATTGAGTTCCAAGCTTTAATTTAACCCCAACTCCCCCACAAGAAGAAATATGAAACTATCCTTTGAAGACTAAAAACATATTTACTTTTTTGAAATATGTTTGAGAAGGCATGCTATTTGGCAAAAAAAAAAAAGCTAATTAATCAATACAGAAATTTACCTCCGTGAATAGCCTGTTTTAATTATCATGCATATGGTAGCAACTGCGGTATCAGTACTCATCATTTTGCCTGTGGGCTGTCAGCTCTGCTGGTGTCCCATGCTTCTAAACAGAGTGACCAGGTTCCACCGTTATATAAGCAAAACTGGGCATCGAAATATATGGCTTGTCTGAATGAAAACCCACCTGGCAGCAAGGACTTGTGATTTCAGCCATCGCTAATGACTTCAGATCCAGGATAGGATCAGATGGTGCCTGAGGGGTCAGTGTTATGACTCTCAGTTCGTCTCCAGCCCCAGTCCTGGTTGCAGAGCTATGATGGATGAAATGTCAGATTAAATCCATTCCTACTGCATATTGAAACTCAAAAGGCATCCTCCTGGAATTTAGCCTTCATAAAGTAGATAGGATTATAAACAGTTCACAGCTAAAATCTGTGCAAGATATTAGCAGGAAATTAAATTTCCCGGGACTCCAGAAAAACCTTCCTTCTGGAGTTCGGAGGTCAGCACAGCTTCTTCTAACAACTACCTGTAGTTACAAAGGGAACATGGTTCATGGACATAGTCTACTGCTCCTCAAGTATTTCTACTCCTGTTCTGGGGCTTCAGAACTCCTTGATGGTTTGGTTTTTAGGAAGGAATGGTTAGATTTCGATTTCAAATGCAGATTTCATGTGACATTCAGCAAGAGTCATTTGTTATTCAACTGTCTCAGGGAATCTTCAGAGAAAGATGATTTATTCCAAACCTCTTGTTTTATGAATGAAGAAATTTCCTCAGAGACTCTGAGCCGGTGCTAAATATCCAAATTAGATGAGATCATCTCCATTAAAGATCCAATTCTGAAGTCCTCGTGGCATAAAAGAATACGGCTAGCAGGCCTTTTACTCAGAGGACATCCAAAACTAGAGAGACAGGACATTTGTATTAGCCCGAGAGAGAATATTCAATTGTTGACTCAGAGGTTCAAGTTGTACATCATTTGGTATTTTGCTAGTGAGACCTCAGTGTACTACTAGGCTCCATGTGGAGCAACCTGGTGACGTGGTACTCTCCTTAAAACACATATATTCAGCTCTGAGGTGAGAGCACATGAGATTAAGTTCTCAGTGGGGCAAGCATCAAGTCATCACCTAATTTACTCATTGATGTCAAAGAAAAATGGCTCAGTGGCAAGGAAATCTGTAGGTCCCCACTCCCTCCCAAGTGAGGCTCCATAACCTATTCCCAAACACTTGAATCAAACTGCTACTTGTTATTGGGTCAAGGATTTTGTTTTCAAGTTAGAAAACAGCGTCCGTCCGCACACTATTTCTTTTAACCACTCGACACATATTCTCTTAAGAGAGTCCCTGGTAATTGTCTTAATGGTAATTACATGCTTGGGGCAGTTGTCATCCACTGTTATTTTTCTGAAAGTGAGGAACAAGGGACAGGAGCAAGAGAGGAGGAGGGAGAGTTTTGAGATAATGAAATCCTTTTAATGACAGAGCCATGCCGTTAACCTAATTAAACTGTAAAGTGGTAAAAAAAAAAAAATCCAGGTACTAAATGGAAATGAAGAAATAAATCAGCTGAGACAGCAGCGCTTCTGGGAAACCTTCTGAATTCCGAACACTGTGACATTGCAGTGTCCGAGTCTCACGTTGTACTCTGGCCCCCTTTGGCCTTGTACAGAGGTCTCTTAAACTGACCTGTCCAGTAGGACTTGATTTACGATGTCCGTATCAGGGCTCCAGTTCCCCTGGGAATGTGGGTTATGCAGCTCATATATTTCAAAAGCCAGACCGGTGTGTAAGATATGGCCACAGAGCACTGGGTAGGATGGGAAGTCTGCGCTTTCCTGGCTCTACTGCTAACCAGGTATGGGGTACCTGGGACGTTGTGGCTTGGCTCAGATGCCCGCAAACCAGGTATGGGGTACCTGAAGCGTTGTGGCTCAGATGCCCGCACCCATTTATGTACACCTTCCCTGCCTTGTCTCTTAGAAGAATGGCCCTGAGACGATTAAAGTCACTTTGCCTTATAGGATCAAGAGCCGGAAGGCCTTGGGAACTTACCTCCCCTGGGGCAACCCTCAGCCATCAACTGGCTGATGCTGAGCTCGACATTCATTGCCACAACTCAGGGCAGACTCTGAGACACAACTTACACTCCCGAGTCCCCTGAGCTCAGGCTAAAATGATTCACAAGGTCATTGTCTGAAACTGTCTCCTTGGGTGGCTTCTTCCCCTTCCCCATCGTGCATCCTCCTCTTTTCTGTTTCTCTTGGAGCTTTTCTTTAATAGACGCTACAAATCTGCATGTAAGAAGCTGCTTCTGGGGAGTCCAACCTAAGAAATGAGCACTTCCCATACTTTGCGCCAGTCTCAGTTCCAAAATCTAAAAGTCGGAGATGGCAACACCTGCCCGTATTAAAGACGATAATCCAGCAGTGATACTACAGGCAAAGTGATGGGATCCTCCAGGCAAAGCAACTTCAATAGTCTCATGGGAGTTTTTTTTAAGAGAGAAGGAAGGGATGGGTGTACATAGGTTCATGAAGGGCTTCTTCCAAATTCCTTTTCATACTGCTGCCACCCGTGACAGAGTGGAAAGGGACATCATGATATGACAGAGGGCCCACCCATCTGTCACTGCTCTGCATCCCCACCCCACACCACCCAAGTGGCTGCACTCCACAGTCTTTATTTTGACCTCCATCACTATTTTCCATTCTGACCCAGCAACAATTAGCTAATCCTTTACACAAAGATAGAGATCTTACCCAATCAGCCCAAGGATTTCACTCTTGTTCCCACTGGGGAACCCCCGTAAAGAAAAGCACCAGGTCTATAGGTGAGAGAGATTTGGAATAACGGATAAGGAGAAAGTTTATCCATTATCCTTCTGTGGGACTTCAGAATCTCACATCAACTCCATCACTAAGTCACTCAAGTCTTGACTAGCTCACTTGACATCTCAATATGTTCACTTCATCGGTGGCAGAGCCATTAATATTTATAGACAGTTCACTGGATGCCTGGAATTATTCTAGGCGCTGACTTCCTCTTGAAAAAACAGGGGGAATTGTCTGATGCAGCCACAGCAGTGTGGTGAAGATTAATTAATATAAATAAGTAATTGCCTGAATAATGCAGGGCACTCAGACACCTCGCAAATGGATGCTGTGTAAATGTTACACGGGATGAGTAATAATAGTAAAGGCTTGATGGACAAATTTCCAGTAAATTTAAAGTCTCTGTCAACCTGATAAGTGACTGAAAGTAAGCATTTTCTTGATGGTTCATAATGGATGCTTTTGTTTTTCCTGTTGCCTAGGCGGGGGAGAGAGACAGAGAAGTGAGCAACCTTAGCAGCAAGCTCCTGAGCCTGCAACTCGACATCAAGAACCTTCACGATGTCTGCAAGAGACACGGGAAGACCTTGCAAGAGAACCAGCTGTGCGTGGAGGAGGCCATGATGAACAGCAGCCACGTAAGGAACTGGGCAGCGGCTACCTGCCACTGCTCCCTTGAGCGAGAACAGTAGAAAGTTCTCTCCTGGGTCATTTAAGGCTACTTACTGAGCAAGCCATGAGGGACCATGACTCACACACAGAAAAGGCTGCTCCTGCCCTCGGGATTTTTCACTCTAGCTGTTTCCAAGATATCTGCCTCTCAGATGTGCTGTCTTTCCCTTTTCTGGCCTTTCACACCTGACTTGGTAGCCCATTTCCCTGAAAATGCCGGATCACAGTGATCGAAGGAGAGTAGTACCTCCTGACGGATCTTAGACACACTTCTAATCAACCTGGGAAGTAAAAGCCATTGCGTCACTCTTCATCAGTGCCACGGGTGCTTGTTACAGACGTGCTTGCCTCTTCACTGCCTTTGAGATGTCCTCCTGGAGGCCAGAACCCAGTCCCAGGACAAGCTGAAGCGTTGAAGAGGAATGCCCCTAGGAGCAGAACCCAAGTAATGGCACATCGGGAGACGGCTGATTAAATAACCTAGCCCCCTTCACCTGTGTCACAGTTAACTCAAGACACGCTCCTAGCTCTCTCCCAGAATTCCTCATTGGGACCCACCCACAGTGGTAACTGGCTTGATGACACACCCTCCCTGGCTCCAGAGTTTCCTACCGTCTCCTCCTACATACACTACTAGTTGACAGTCACTCCGTTCCTTGTTTCAGGGCCTGCTTTCTTTCAGAGGTACCCAAGCTGAAACACTCAGTTCCACTTCTCCTGCCTGCGTGTGAATAGCTAGGCCCCCCCGGCATACCATCTTTCTGGAGTGATTTTGAACTAATACTGATCTGGGGAATCCACCAGCTGAAGTGGTTTTTATTTCAGCCTGAGGTTCTTTCTCTTTGGAAACTCTGCACCCAAGGTCTTTAAACCACACTCTAAGCTGATCCACACAAACTGGGGAGCCCGCTGGGATGTGTTTTCTAAAAACGGATTTCCAAGAATTTCTTACTTGCGGTCTTTATTTCCATTTAGTGACTTGAATTCTTACACAAACATAAAGCAAGTACTGGTTGCACAGGTCTTTGCTGAATCCCCCCCAGGTGCTGTGTAAGCAACCACGGTGATCCTTGTCATCAAGGATCTGGTCTCTGTCATGATGTCTGTTAGAGTTCCCCCAGGACTTATCACCTCGCTATGGAAACCAAAAACTGTTCTCTGCAATGCCCCAAAAATGCTACCAGCAAAGCAATCCTACCAAGCACTGCATCCTTTTCTCAGGAAGTCATGAATCTAGAAAAATCTTTGGTTTCCCTAAATATGGATCTCAGGAAGAAGATGATCATAATTTACTTCTTTCTAAATATTAACATTCTAGGATGTTTTCACTGTCCTGGGCTTTCATGGATTTACTTATTCCCCCAGTCAGGAAAAGCCATGTGGCTTATAAATACACCTGGCAACTTGAAAGGAGAAAAGTATTAAATTGCATTTTATTATTCTAATTGCCCAGAAGAAGGTCTAACAGCTTGAAACAAGCTTTAAAACAAGCTCTTTTTTTTTCCCTAGCACTTAGTGCAAAATTTAAATTGCAGACTATGCATACAAATACACAATTACATGTAGACCTATACTCATCTACTCAGAAAATCCCTTTAAAAAATCTGCTTTCCACAAGGAGAAATGTAATATGAAAGAGAACCGTCTCTGTGTGGAGGAGGGCATGATGTACAGCAGCCACGGAAGGAATTTGGCAGCTGCTACCTACCCCTGTTCCCTTGACTACCCCAGGGCTAGAACAATAGAAAGTTCTTCTTCCACTAGTCATTCAAGAGTACTTGTCAAGCAAGCAATGAGAGAAACAAACACACACACCCTAACAATGAAAATACCACTCCTACCTCAGGACTTTTCACTCTGGCTATTTTCAAGGTCATCTGCATCTGAGAGTGAAACCTAAGACTTTTCTAGAATTTTGCTAATATCTGAAAAGTGGGGGTGGGGAGAAGCAGGAGGTCATGGTTCAGGACCACAGTTATGGGAGAAAAGCAAATTACATCCGATGTTACACGTAACAAAAGAAATGGAAGAGAGAAGGTGGATGATAGGAAACAAAATGATCTGACCAGATACATAAAGAATAATTCATTATGCTCTAAAACCCCGGAACAGAGCAAGCGAGGTGCCCCTGATGCAGGATTTATGGGCACTGACTCTTCGGTGCAACCTGCTCTTGCTTGACCCTGAGACTGAGCGCCTCCTTAAAATCTGCACCTTGCTTCCCTCACTCCAGTCCTGGCCCTGTCCAGAAGCCAAAAGAAAGCCTCAAAACAAAAGGAGAAAAGAACAAGAGAGGAATCATAATAAAATAAAGATCAAATCAGGAATAGAAAGGTCCTGTTGAATAATTTTCCCAGGCCCCATTCCCTGGCAAAAGCATGGGTAGTGTATCCCGACATTCAGTTGAACTTAGATTGTCAGGCTAAGCTGTGAGGTATGTGGAAGGCATTATTTTTAGAATAAAAAATGCATAATGCAAATTTTATTCCTGTAGGTGAGAGTAACTAGTTGGACAAGTAAAGATTAGTAGAGTCCTGATGGACATTATCACACAGTATCATTTTGGATAATTTTTCCATAATTTTTCTTGGTGCATGACAATTGTACATAATGATGGGATGTGTTGTCACATATTTGTATGTGACAAAATATAATTTGGCACAAAATATAATATAATTTGACCAATCACAATCTCCAGTATTTCTCTCTTTCCTCCTCCATTCCCTGGTCCTTTCCTCTCCTCTACTGATCTCTCCCTTCAATTTTCATGGGATCTCCACCCCCGACACTTTTTCTTTTCCTTTTTCCTCTCCAGTTTCCACATATAAGAGGAAACTTGACTTCCTGAGTTTGGCTTATTTCACTTAACATAATGCTCTCAAGCTCCATCCATTTTTCTGCAAATGACATAATCCCATTCTTCTTTATGACTAAATAAAACTCCACTGTGTATATATACCACATTTTCCCTTTTCCATTTATTCATGGAAGGACACCTAGACGGGTTCCATAATTTGTCTACACAATATCATTTTTGAATCATTGATAATGAAAAAAGAAAGAATTTTTAAGTGAATCTGCTAAATGTAATATGGGATCCTAGATTGAATGATCCTAGAACAGAAAAAAAAATTACACTAGTGAAAAAATCTGACAAAATTTCTCTAGTTTCATTCATAATCATGTAACAACATTAATTTCTTAGTTTGGACAAATGTACCACATTATGTGAGAATAACTTAACATTAGGAGAAGCTGGATGTAGACTCTATAGGAACTCTCTTTGCTACTTTTGAAATTTTTCCATAACTTGAAAATCATTCTGAAAATAGTGTATGTTTTTAAAGTGAATCTCGGAGATCACTGGAGAGAAGAATGTCAAAGCCACAGATGCATGCAAAAGAAATGCAGGTCAGTTAAGCATGCAGCTCTATATGCTACCAACACAAGAAAAAAATACAAGGAATATAATTTAGGGAAAACCTAAGAAGAGATGGACCTTCTTCAGTGATTTAAGACTAACCTACATTTCCAGAAAATATCTCACCTAACGCCTCAAAGATAGGAAAATAAGTTTATAACAATGACTGAAAAAGGATAGGGAGACATTCAGCTCTTAAATTCAGTTCTGAGACCCAGTCATCAGAACAATGCCAACTTGTGACAGAAAAGAACGAAAACTAGAGTAGGGAATAAAAGGGTTAAAAAGTATTTTGAAAAGCCGGCTTTAGGCAAATCAGCAGGGCCTGATGACATTCTTCCAAGAGTACTTAAGGAATTGGCAGGTGTTATTACATAGCTGCTAGTGATTATTTTTGAGAACTCAAGAGGATAAAGAAAGTCCCTGTAGACTGAAAAAGGGTAAATGAAGTGCTCATCTTTTTAAAAAAGGGAAAAAGGACAATCCTGGTAATTATAGACCTGTCAGCTTAACTTCAATATCAGGGAAAATATAGAACTTAACATCAATCAATTAGCATCAACTTGAAAAGCACAAAGTATTGGGTGGAAACCAACGTGACTTTTCAAAAGGCAAATCATGCCAGGCCAATTAATTTCCTTCTGTGATCAAGTGGCCACATAGGCAAGGAAGGAGCAATAGCTATAATCTCTTTGACCACAAGTAGGGCTGAAAGGTTGATTAAATATGGGAACAAGTTCCTTGGGTGGCCCGAGTGCTCCATCTTTTCAAACAGCTGATGCCAGGTAGAAATCTAGCTGAGAGACCTGATAGACCAGATGGCCCCCAGAATCATCTACCTCTGGACGGTCACCTTAAGAATTAGTCTTACTTCCATAAAATCATTTCTAACTTGTTCCTTTTCTCCAGATCTCAGTTTAGAAGCCAAAGAAGAATGTAAAAAAACAAACAAAAAAAAAAAACTTTTCAAAAGAAAGGAAAGGTTTTGGGACCTTTATGCAACTGTTCTGTTATTTAGCACAGATATGAGTGAAATGTCAATTTCATAGCATGTGGCATGGATTCATAGCATATCATTTTCTATTCACTTAGAATTAATAAAAATAAACTTTTGAATATGTAAGGATAAATAAGTGGAAATGTTGCAAGTCTTAAGTCAGTTTAGGCATTTTTTCCCCAAGTCTTGCAAATTTCATTCCTCCAAACCCATAGTTTTGTGGAGTACATGAATATTTACGTTTTCCATCCAGCAAAACTCCAATTTCTCTGTAGATATAAGCAATTTGGGGAACTTTATAATTAGCTCTGCTACTGGAAATGTTGAGAGATCTCCCATCATCTGGCTGGTCCATCATGTTACCCCAGACCAAAATTAAATCCAGAAGGCTCCACATAACCTTTAGGAAGAGATATTATTAGTGGTTCGTCAGCATCACTGCCAGATTGGGGAGCTCTCTACACCCCATTCAGGAAAGACACTCTTTACCCACAGGAACCTTTAAAGCAATTCTGAGCACATCTAAGTATGGATGACATACCAGATACTAGGAACAGAAACCCTGAAGAAAGTTTGACTTCTTTTAAACAAATAGTGTTTCTCTCATTCTGTTGGATAATGAGGAGAAAGTGGGCACATGGAAAGAAGGAGAGGCAAAGAAAGAATGTATTCTCATGTGTACAAGAGGAGACCGCAGTTGAGTTTCATCTAGGTCATATACATCCAGTGGGGGAAGGGAATTCCAGATCAGAGGTTACACGTGAGCAATAGAAGCACCAGGAATCCAGTTTCTTAACCCTCAAGAGACCAGTTCACATTAAGTGAAGCCAAGAGAAGAAAATTTGGGCAAAAAATAATAAGGATTTTTGCCAGGTGTGGTAGCACACGCCTGTAATCCCAGCAGTTCAGGAGGCTAAGGAAGGGGGATCTCAAGTTCAAAGCCAGCCTCAGCAACTTAACGAAGCCCTAAGCCAATGAGACTCTGCCTCAAAATAAAACACAAAAAGGGTTCAGGATATAACTCAGTGGTAAAATGTCCCTGGGTTTAATCCCCAAAACCCCCACAAAAAAATTAATCCGTAGTAGTAGTAGTAGTAGTAGTAGTAGTAGTAGCGGTAGTAGTAAGCACTTCATCACTGAGCTACATTACCAACCCTTTTTAATTTTTATTTTGAAACAGGGTCTCACTAAATTGCCCAGGCTGGGCTCCAGCTTGTGATCCTCCTGCCTCAGCCTCCTGAGCTGCTGGGATTATAGGCTCCCAACAATGATAAGGATTTTATTGAATATTTGCTTCAATAAGACAAGCTGTTCTGAATGAATCCCATCCCAGGGTGTTTACGCCTTTGCTTAGTTA